AAGCGAAAGCACGCAAACAAAGTACAAACACGTGGTGGTGGTGGGGGACGAAAGAAAGGAATAACCTCGTCATGAACGCCGAGTTAAGGTAAAAACACATACACGTATCGCATTCTCACAAAATGCAACTCCCGAGCATTGTGGTGGTGCCAGCACAAGTGTCGGTTCCTTCTCCTTCCCTTACGTGTCCATTCAGGTCACCAGGCCAAAATATCCCTTGCCACTGCGGCCACAGGCACGCTCTGGCGCTAACGAGGATGTCACTGCTGCCTGGTGAGGCCGTGGCCACAAATGCCCCAATCGGTGGCATGCGCGGTGCACCATCGCTCTCGTCTCAGGCGGCCATCGTTAAGGTCGTTTCAACGCCACTGCCAAACGGCACTGCATCCGAACCACGCGTAAAGTGCTCCATACCAAAGACATTAGGCGTGAAATACCGCTCGGCTAGTGGCGGAGGCGGGCCGACGCCTCTCGCTCTCGCACCATTGTACCCGCCTCCTGTGTGGGCGTGAGCGGCGTGCGCCACGGCAGCCCCGTAGGTGTTGTGAGGTGCAGACAAATGGTTGAGCGTGGGGCTGGCAGACGCAGCCCTCTTCTGCTTGACGCCTCTATTCACTCCGCCCTGTGGCCGGCCATCCAAGTCCGCCGCGGACCCCACTGTGCACGTCGCACGGCCGTATAAAAGGAAACCTTCCTGGTGCAGCCCTTCCCTGCTTAGCCACAGCTGCCTCCGCCTCGCAGGAAGGCTGCTATCGACGCTGGGCGTGGCGTCTGCTGCGACTGTAACTGACTTGTTCTCTGGGGTGAGGGGGCGACTGAAGCTCATAAAACTGGCTTCCTCCTGCGGCGACTCGCTTCCACCGCCTTGCGGCAAATACGGTTTGAGCATCTCGAAAGATGCGCGTGGGGTGCCGCCTGTAAGGGACAGCGAGGCCGGGCTGAGCACGGGCCGCAGCAAGTGGCAAATGACGCTGCCGCGAGGGTCATGTGTGCTGGTAAGCGCCAGACGCTGCTGTGGGTGCGCCTCTACCGTGAGATCCCGCACCCCCGCCGCGCGTGGGGCCTCGTGCCGTTCCCGCGCCAGTCACCAGCGCGCGAGGAGCCCCGCTACCGCCACGGTAAGCAGGAGGAGGACGGACACCACAACTGAAATGAAGGACACCCCTCCCTTTTGCTTTCTCTTTTTGCTTCTTCTCCCAATGTGTGTGTATGGTTGAGGGAAATAAATGAGCGCGTGGGTCTTGTCCTCCGCCGCAGCCGCCGTCGTCGCGCGCTGCAGTGCACCACAAACGTGGGAGAGGATCCAACCGGGCTGCATGCAAAGAGGAGAGCAACACACACACACACTCTCTGAGGCCAACGGCACCCGCACACTAATGCCAAGTCAGCGCCTGCTGAAACACACACACACGTACACACACTAGTGCAAACGGAGAGACAAAGAAGTAAGGCTCTGCGGGAGACAGATGGAAGCACGCGCCACCAGGGGGATGGTTCCGCAGCGCCGCCCATGAAGCGTCCGGAAGGCGCGAGCAGCAGCATCGGCGATGGAAGAGATCACCGCAACATCGTTGGGTTACAACAAAAAAGAGCACTGGGTCAACGATATTTAGAGAACGTGAAACAACAACAAATAAACACGAACACACACACACAAACACACACACAGAGAGAGAGAGAGAGAGAGAG